GTTTGGTTTGCAAAATGTCCAGTTTGGTTTGCAAAATGTCCACTTTGGTTTGCAAAATGTCCACTTTGGTTTGCAAAATGTCCAGTTTGGTTTGAAAAATGTCCAGTTTAAAGTGAAAATGGTATAATGAGAACACAACTAGAGGTATGCTAGGGTTGACCAAGCTACTAGTTCTGCTTCAAATTTGCGGCCGAAATGAGCAATGAGGATGTAATTCCGACTACACAATATAGTTACTCTAAGACGCAACGAGACTGGACCTTAACGTGGTGCGACGGTTTGCGTACCTCATTGACCCATTGAGCTATACTGGGTGATGCTTCCGAGCATCTTGAAAGCTACTCCTACCAGGTTGGTCAATGGTGAGAGGTCAGACAAACTCAGTCTCCTGGTCCTCCAGGTTGGGGGTTTGAAATGGGATGGCCTCCATTTCTGTAAAACTAAGTCACTGCCACCACCCCGCTGACAGCGGACAGGCTTTTGAGCCAAAGGCTTTGGATGAGGACCCTAATCGTCCTCCTGTCTAGGTCTGGGCGCCCTGGCAGTATCCAAGCCCACATACAACTATGACATTTTCTTCGAACAAAACCTTCATCCTGCATCGGTCGCCGCGCAGATTATCAAGAGTCGCCTTATCTGCTGCATACAGCAGGGCGGATAAGCGAAAACATCCTACTACTGGCGCCTCCCTTCTTTCTTTTCCACCTTTTTCTCTTGCTCCCATCCCGACTACCATTACTAACCTTCCTTCCACAATTCCCAGCTTAATTGACAGCAACCGAAGTGCTACTGAAGTAGTACCATCTGCAGCCACCATCCCACAGCACCTATCGGACGCCTATCGGCAAAAGTCCCTTATAAGGTCATGCTATCCCCTTCCCATGGCGACATGCAACGTCCGCACTCTAAGACAAACACGTCAGCAGGTTGCACTCGCACGCACCTCGGACACACTGGGTGTTGATGTGTGTTGTGTGTTCGAAAATAGGATTAATGACCCTAACGGGGTTATTGAATTGACTGCACCCGGCTTATCCTCTCGTTATTGGTTGCACGCATCCGGAGACGCCGATGCGGCACTCACGGGTCAAGCTGGTGTAGGTACCATTCTCAGCTCCAAGGCTGAGTCATCGTTGGCTGATTGGATTCCGGTGAACAGCCATTTATGTGCAGCCCGTTTGACGACATCAGCTAAGGTGAACTCGCGAAGTAGTACAAAACGCTGTTTGTTTGTGATTTCTGCTTATGCTCCCACCGACTGCAGTTCTAATGCAGTCAAGGATACTTTCTATCACGAACTGAATGCGCTATTATGCAGTGCTACTAGTTCAGATATTATAGTACTTGCAGGGGATATGAACGCACAAGTAGGGCGTCTGAGCTCTTCAGAAGCTCAGCTGGGTGGTAAGTATGGACTTAACTCCGAACGGACTGACAACGGTGAGCGTCTGCTGCAACTGTGTGCGGAGCACCAGTTGTTTCTTAGCAGCACTGCTTTTAGACACAGTGGGCGCCGAAGTGCCACTTGGCGTCCACCTGTAGCTGGCCCGCGATGGACCCAAATTGACCACATAGCCATAAGTTACAGGTGGCGTGGTTCCATTCTGGATTGCTGCTCATACTGGAGTACCTGTGTCGACGCTGATCATGCCTTGGTGCGCTGTCGTTTCTCCATGAACTTGACCGGAAGGCGCACAAAGCGTCTCCCCCGATTGGCAACGGAGAAATTGTCCCAGCCCTCGGTCAGGCAAGCCTATCAAGACACACTGCATAGCGAACTCTCGCTGTCTTGTCCTAACGACACTGAACATCAGTGGAATAGGATCTCGGCCGCTATGCACGACGCAGGATCATCTGCTTGTGGCACTATCAGTCGTCACCGCACCAGTCACTGGATATCCGAGAGGTCCGTGAACCTTTTGGAAGCTAGAAGACACCTCCCGGCTGGTTCTGAACACAATGTGACCAGACGGGCTATTAGGCGTGAACTAAAGCGGAGCCTACGTGTTGACAAGGAAGCTTAGTGGACCAGTCTGACGCAAGAAATGGAGGAGGCAGGAGCAGTAGGCAATTACCGCAAGCTCTTCCAGCTGATCCGCACTACTGATCCTAGGAAAGCAGACGTCAGTGAAACAATCAGAGATAGCGCAGGTGCACTGATACATAATAAGGAGCGCCGTATGGCTCGTTGGGCCGAACACTTTCAAGATCAGTTCAGCTGGCCCCCTGCTCCCGGACCTCTTCCTACTCAGGTGATGCAGGACGTGCCGTGGACGGTTAGTTTAGAGCCTCCGTCAGAGGCCGAGGTCCGAAAGGCGATCACAGCTTTCAATCGTTTTCGTGCCGTTGGCCCGGATTCCCTCCCACCTGCACTATTTAAGGATGGAAGTGAGGTCCTCTGCAAAGCACTGACCTCCCTATTCGAACATATCTGGAACGAAGAGAGTGTGCCGGCTAATTCTAGCAAATCGATTATGGTGGCAATATACAAGAAGGGCAATCGCACAGACTGTTCTAACTACAGGGGTATTAGCCTAACGCCAGTTGTGACAAAATTACTGGCCTCGATTATCGTTCGTCGCCTCACTGCGGAACGGGAATTTCGGATTAGGGAAGAGCAGGCCGGTTTCCGCACAGGGCATGTCTATAGACCATATATTCACTTTGTGCCAGGTGCTAGCACAGCGCCACGCATACCGTAGACCGACAATAGCTGTGTTCCTCGATTTCAAGAGTGCGTTCGATTCAGTCGATCGATCGATTCTGTTGGAATTACTTGCGCGAAGGTGTTCCCACGAAATATGTGAACATCCTTCGTGCTCTATACTCGAACACTACAGGCCGCGTCAGGGTCTACGGTGTCCTATCGGATAGCTTTCCGACCACAAATGGCGTTCGTCAGGGTTGTCCGATTTCCCCATTTTTGTTCAATTCCATTGTGAATTCTATTATGGAGTGTTCCCTTGCGGAATCTCACGATGTACACGTTGAAGTGCTGTCTGGTGAAAGGTTAGTTGATCTAGATTATGCGGACGATATCGTCTTGCTTTTCGACGATGATGGGGCGGCAAAATCAACCCTGAATAGCCTATCCAGAGTGGTCCCATTATTTGGTATGCACTTCGCACCTTCAAAGTGCAAAGTGTTGCTACTGGACCACCAGCCACTTACTGACTCCTTGACGCTTGCTAACGAGGAACTCGTGGTGGTTGATCAATTCAATTACGTTGGCAGCTGCATCAGAAACGATGGGCGCATAGAAACTGACAGCTCACGCATTGCAAAGGCCAGAGCTGCCTTCTTGAACCCGAGACATCTTTGACGACAGAAGGGAATTTCCCTCCGTCCGAAAGACTGTGTATACAAGGCCACAGTGAGGGCCGTTCTGCTCTATGGTAGTGAGGCTTGGCCCCTTCGGTCTGAAGATCTGAGACGCCTTCAAGTCTCTGATCATCGTTGTCTGCGAAGCATTGCTGGTGTCGGATGGCACCACGGTGTCCGCAACGATGATGTGCGTAGGCGAGTATTAGGTGTTGATAATTATGCTAGCTCCCTAGAACAACAGATAGCACTGAATAAGTTGCGTTGGCTCGGGCACGTGCTACGCATGCCTGGTCACCGCTTACCTAGGAGGGCCTTGTTTAGTCTGCCAGGTGTAGGATGGCGCAAGGCTCGAGGTGGACAAAAGTTGACTTGGTAGCGGGAAATGAAGTCACTGACGACCAAACTGGGTGCCGTTGGTCCGTCTCCTTCTTCCAGGCTGGAGTCCACGTAATTCTCCTTGTGCTTGACTCGAGACGTTACCGGACGTGGCTCGCAACAGACACCAGTGGCGCGTCTGCTGCCATCTCCTAATTGGATTGCCTGTTTCAAGTGTGTTTAGTGCTGAGTTATCTGCAGGATAATGGCTGATTATGACGCGTGGCAGTGAAAGCCGCAAGGAAGCTGTCGCGCCGATGCTGCCTTATCTTTGCACGATAGCCAGCTGTTTGTGACGGTATGTCGTTTACACAAGGTGTAGGCGCCTTGACCCTGAATGTTTGCTTAGGGAATTAAGGTTTTCAGGTAAGTCCCCTTTCTCTCCCCCTTCTTATTCTTTATTTCATATTTCCACATGGTTGTATGGCAGCAAAGCGTCAGTTTAAATGGCTGATGTACTGTTGTTGATGATGATGATGATGATGATGATGATGATGATGATGATGATGATGAAGAGGGATTGAGATGTTGCCAGCTCTTCCGTAGTAAGACAAAATGGTTCCTGAGTAGGCGTTAAGAACGGCTTGAAGGAACACTGCATATCTTGATCTGTGCTCAATCGTTTCATGCTGTAAAGTTCTGCAGTGAGATGAGCCAACTCTTAGGGTATCAGACTGAACTAAGCTGCCAGCATATGGGCAATGCTTATGTTGACCGAAACACGTTTACTGGTTACAGACTGCGTTCGGACATAGTGTTTGAGAAAGCGAATCCGCAAAAAAAACCAAGTGATAGCGGAGTAAACATGTATAAAAGAGTCGATCAGAGAAGCTGATCGCGTTGGTATGACCCATCAGACTGGATTGGCAGTGTGAGGTTGAATCGGCAAGTGAAACAAGCCGTCATCGATCATCTCGATATCAAAAGCTAGAAAGAAAGGAATGACTGAACAGATCCTATATACACCCACCAATCGTGATCAACTCAGAATAGTAGTACGCGCAGACCAATCCCCAGCCCAAAGAATTGTAGTTCCGAAATCCGCTAAGCAAAATTTCATACCAAAGATAATGGCCAACCCAGTAAAGGCAATCCTCGCATCAAGAAAAAGTCAGATTTAGTTTGAGTACTAGTTGGTACGGCACGTCTTCAGCACCGCAGCAGTATGTACGAGCGTATCGAGGAGAAAGAGATGGCTGACAGAACTGTAGGCAACCAAAAACTCATGTAAAGCAAAGGATAATTGAAATGTAAAACTTCGGAATGAGAGTGATGTGTCAGATACACAAGGCAAAACTTACTCGACCGCTGCACCGGAAATGAAAGCACTAGCGAAGCTCATGAGCACAGTTTCAGTCGAATCAAGTGCATCTGTGTGAGTATAACCACGTAACTGCTCCATGGTTGCGTTCGGTGGATGCCAGCCTAAACTTGACAGCAACGGAATTGCACGAATTCGCAAGTCAACGCAACCACCAAACCCTACAATGACTCTGGGGCCAGGCATTTTTTGAGGCAGGGGACGATAAGATAATTCCAGCCGAGAGAGGAACTTTATGACCTGGAAAACAAGTGTAAACGCGGTGGAGCCCGAAAAACCTACTCGTCGAATATCTCCTGAAATGTTGCGCCATTTGAACTGACGCACAAAGATAGCAATTGCCAAGAGAAAAAGAGCAGTGAAAAATTTATTACTGAAAGACCCGCAAGGGCGCATATCTGAAAACGAATGAAATGATTCCATGACCAAAATATACGAAATATTAGCAGTTGAAAACAAATAGAGCGGAAAATAAGCGAAGGCGTAGGCACTTTACCAGACAACTATCTGCTCTTTTTTAAGTTCCGATAAATTTATATACACAAAATGTTAACCTAAAAGTTAAGGCAGAGAGAAGACAGAGGTTGCGATATGTTAGCATTTCGATTGTTCTTTTCAGTCGCAAACCCAATACGAGCAGAAACACACAAATGATTATATACATGGAAAAAATAAGCACCACCAATCAAAATGTCACAGTCAAGACCATGGCAACCGAATCCATCGCAATGAGGCTGGACCTTACCGTGGTGCGATGGTTTGCGTGCCTCAGAGATCCATTGAGCTATGCTGGGTGGTGCTTTTTTTGCACCTTCAGAGCCACTCATACCAGATTGGTCAATGGTTAGAGGCCAGACAAACTCAGCCTCCTGGTCCTCCAGGTTGGGGGTTGGAATGGGGGTGGCTCCTCATTTCATAAAACGGGCTCTGTAGTACAGTGCCGCAACCCGCTGCCTTGCGGTAAGGTTTTTGAACCAAAGGCTTTGGTTGAGAACCCTAATCGTTCTTCTGTCTAGGCCTGGGCAACCTGACAGCATTCTGCCCACGCAATACAATGAACCTTTCCTACAATACTTTCTTGATGCTCTGGCCGTCGCAGAGGATAATAAACGGCGCCCTATCTGCTGCATCGAGCAGGGTGGATAGGGGTATGGATGCTACTGCTCAGACCTTCCCGTCTTCTTATACCCCTTCTTGCGCTTCTTCATCCTTATCGTCCCGCTCCAACTTTACTTATATCCCCCCATTTTCAATCCCCAATTCTTGGCCCTCCCCCAGCTTACTTCAGTAGTCGCTTGTCTTCTAATTTCAAATCACACACAATCGCACTGCGTCGCTCCAATCCAGTCGACAAGTCCATGTTCAACCAAGCGGACAACGTCAGTTCATCCGTTTCCCTTTGGAGTCCTCGTGTCTCGCTAAGATTGGCATGCCTCAACGTGCGCACTTTGCTGCAGATTGGCCAACAGGCAGCACTTGCCCGCACACTAGAGACCCTATCGATCGATATTTGCTGCTTATCAGAAACCCGCCTGCAAGATTCGAGCTCCGTGATTACCCTGAGATCCCCCACATGCGACACTGGCGGCACATTCTCATTGCGCCTGTCTGGCGAGTATGCAGCTTCAAATGCCGGTCAAGCTGGCGTCGGCATTGTTTTGAGTCCCCGGGCTGAAGTTGCCTTGATTGATTGGATCCCAGTCAACAGTCGGATGTGCGCCGTTAGATTAGCTGGTTTGTTCCGTGCTACGAAGTCGCGCGGGGACAAACGGTGCCTTTTTGTCATTGCGACTTACGCACCTACAAACTGTAGCACTGATTCGGTAAAAGATGATTTCTATCAGCAACTTCACGAGCTCCTTCGTCACAGAAGCACGGATACTGTGGTGTTGGCTGGCGATCTAAACGCCCAAGTCGGAAAATTGTCCTCTGATGAGCTTCATCTGGGCGGCCAACATGGTGTAGGCTCCTGTAACGATAATGGTGAGCGATTGCTACAGCTGTGTGAAGATGCTCACCTCTTTCTCGCGAGCACTAACTTTCGACACAGCACCCGCAGAAGTGTGACTTGGAGGCCACCAGCCTCGGGCCAGCCATGGACGCAAATCGATCATATCGCGATCAGTTATTGCTGGAGAGGCTGTGTCCAAAACTGTCGCTCGATTTGGAGCACGAGCGTGGACTCTGCTCACGCATTTGTCTGGGCCGACCTCTTGGTGCGTTTCGGTGTACGTCCGCAACGTCGATGTGAACGGATTGACACCAGCCAGCTGGCGAAGCTAGATGTTCTGATTGTGTACCAAAGTGCGCTGACATCTGGGCTGAGTAAGCGCCCACTAAGCACCGTTGAAGAGCACTGGTCGCATATTCGTCAAGCGTTGCTGTTAGCAGGCATGTCTTCATGTGGCAAAGCAAATTGCCAAACCGGACATTGGGTCTCTACACAGTCTCTGGGACTTATGTATGCTCGCCTACGTATTCTGGCTGGAAGCGAATACAATGAGGCTCGCAAAAATCTCAGGGCAAAACTACGGGCTAGTCTGAAGAAGGACCGCGAAACCTGGTGGTCTCATCGTGCCTCTGAGATGGAAACAGCTGCTGCCGTTGGTAATCATCGTAAGTTATTCCGTCTGATACGGGAAACAGGCAGCAGGAGACCTGGTGTTGGCGAGACGATATGCGACGAGAGTGGGCAGCCGATCCACAGCCTGTCAAAACGCTTGGAGCGTTGGGCTGAACACTTTGCAAGGCAATTTAACCAACCTGAGTTATCGCTTTCTTCTTCGAGCATTGAGCGCCCTTCTCCCTGGGCAGTCTCCTTGGATCCGCCCTCACGCGCAGAAGTCGAACGTGAGATCAGGCTTTTGAAATTGCATAAGGCCGCAGGGGCAGATAGAATACCCCCAGCCCTCTTTAAATTCGGGGGACCTGATTTACACGAGTTGCTAGTAAAACTTTAAGAGCAGGAGACAGTCCCGACAGACTGGAACCGCTCCGTCATTGTCCCAATTTTCAAGGGAGGCTCTCGTTTGGAATGCGGCAATCATAGAGGGACCAGTCTGATTTCGACTGCCTCTAAATTGCTTGCCTCTGTCATTCTCTACAGACTGACTGGCACTCGTGAAAGTCAGATTCGTGAAGAGCAAGCCGGAGTTCGTCGAGGACGGGGCTGCATCGACCACATCTTCACCTTGCGTCAAGTGTTGGAGCACCGCCATGTTTATTGGCAACCCACCGTTGTCGTGTTTCTTGACATAAAAGGTGCCTTCGACTCAGTCGATCGATGTGTCCTTTGAAACTGTCTGTTGAGGAAAGGTGTGCCTGATAAATATGTAAACATTATCAAAGCGCTGTACGCGCATAGTTCGAGCAGGGTGAGGGTTTATGGCAAACTCTCGCCACCCTTCAGTATCACCAGCGGTGTGAGACAAGGATGCCCGCTGTCACCTTACCTCTTCAACTTCGCTATTGATGAAGTCATGGAAACAGCGTTCGCTGGACACGACCTAGAAGGTGTGGAGCTACTTCCTGGTGAGCGACTTCCAGACTTGGAGTATGCGGACGATATTGCCCTAATCTGTGACAGCTCCCAAACATGCCAAACAGCACTGGACAGATTAGCACTGGCAGTCAATCGTTTTGGGATATGCTTTGCTCCATCGAAATGCAAAGTACTTCTCCAAGATTGGCAGGCACCCAACCTTGCGCTAACGCTTGGTGGTGATCTGCTAGAAGTCGCTCAGGAATTCAAGTACCTGGGCAGCTATATTAGCACCCGTGGGATTGAAGACGAGGTTACGAACCGTATAGCAAAAGCTCGAGGTGCTTTTGCCAATCTCCGCCACCTGTGGCGCAGACGCGACATTACTCTCGCCCTGAAGGGCAGAGTTTACAACGCAACCGTCCGTTCAACTCTCCTATATGGCTGTGAAACCTGGCCCATCAGATCGACAGACATAAAGAGGCTCGTCATATTCGATCATCGCTGCCTTCGCAGCTTAGCTCATGTCTGGTGGGAGCACCGCGTGAGCAATGAGCGTGTTCGACGTCGCGTATTTGGTGCAGGAAGAGCGAGTGAACCGCTCAGCAACATTATATCACGCACCAAGCTTCGATGGCTGCGCCACGTGTTGCGCATGCCAACACACCAACTCCCGCGACGTGCATTGTTTGTGCGTTGTGGGTGCGGTTGGAAGAGGAGGAGGGGAGGCCAAGTGATGACTTGGTCGAGAGAAATGAAAACCCTCACTTCGAAGTTGGTGTCGGTTGGTGCATCCCGACTGCCTGGCTGGGGTCCTAAGGACGGTGAACACGTTTGGTTGGACACACTTGCTGATATGGCTTGGAGCCGGCCCCAATGGCGTTTGTGTTGTGAGTTCCTTTGTCCATCCCCCTCCTGCTTAGCATCCCCCTCCAATCACGATCTCACTTGTTAGGCATAATATGACTCTCTTTTACGGCAGCCAGCTGTTAGCTCTCCGGAACGATGTCCATCCGTTACTGGAGACTCAGCGGGCGTGCCACTGTTTGTTTTCCTTTCCTTGTCTGTTGTATTGCGGCACAATAGCTGAGGTGTTTTCCACCTCCAGCTAACGTGTAATGATGATGATGATGGCAACCGAATTGATTGCCTCAAGAGTTTCTGTGCACATAGCACAGGTTGATAGGCCTTAATTAACAACGCCCCACTTAATTGTTAATTAATGCCTAACAACATGTGCCATGTGCACAGAAACTCTTGAGGCAATCAATTCGGTTGCCATGGTCTTGACTGTGACATTTTGATTGGTGGTGCTTATTTTTTCCATGTATATAATCATTTGTGTGTTTCTGCTCGTATTGTGTTTGCGACTGAAGAGAACAATCGAAATGTTGACATATCGCAACCTCTGTCTTCTCTCTGCCTTGACGAAATGGCTGAAGGGGACCCACTGTTTTACTTTTAACCTGTAAGTGTTGAAGGCGAATGCGGCGCCCAAACCTAGTTAACGAGCTGTGCACACAGAATCTAAGATAGGAGTAGAAAATTCACAGTAATCTAAAGAGTAGCATTTGCCGACGCGACAACTTTAGGCCGAGTCATTCGTGCGAGTACATAGAGAAATCCATCTCAGTCGAGGTAGGTGTAATGGAGAGGCTCATCCAATCTAGAAACTAACCGTTATGTTCTCGGTGTCCGTCAATCAATCACAATGTCAACATACGTAAGAATGAAAAGACAAACAAGCGCTTATGAAAGATGTGTCTCCGGAGAGATTGAGCGTAGTACAATGGGAAAAGAATAGCGTCATAATCCAGGATAGGATCAGTGACGAGCTGAAATGGTTGTAATTAATGAACATAAATATCTACAAAAAGGATGAGTTCAATTGGAAGTAGCCCTCCTAACACCTACATTC